CAGAAATGCGGAGTACAGAACAGTCATATAGTAAAATACAAAAATGTAGATAAATTGAACAATGGGGTTGTGGGGGAGAAACGTAGAAGAGAGGACAACCAAAACAGACATGTTGAAAATAGGAATTAACAGCTAATTTGAAAAGACTTCAGGCCAGTCTTAAACTGGGAGAGGGAGGTGGTATTGTATAATCCATGGGGAAGTGAGTTCCAGAGCTGAAAGCTCTGCTCTCCATGGTGCTGAGGAGGGCAGGGGGTAATGAGAGTTGGAGGGAGGAGGCAGATCTTAGAGAGCGGGAGGCTGTGGAGATGTTCAGGAGGTCAGACAGGTAAGGAGGGGAAAGATTGTGGATAGCTTTGAAGGTGTGGGACATTTTAAAGATGATGCTGGATTTAACTGGGAGCCAGTGGAGCTGTTGTRGGACTGGAGTGATGTGGGCAGAGGATGARGTTTGAGTGATTACACAGGCTGCTGAGTTCTGAACCATCTGTAGCTTGTGAAGGGATTTATTGGGGAGATAACTCCCATCATTAGCATGAAACGGGGTAGGTGATATGCATTCCACTGTATTTTACTTTTAATCTGAAACTCTTGTAATTTGTATTGATTTCAAGTCTTCAGCCACAAGCTTCTCTCTTTGTATCCCCTCCAGCTGTCCTCCCCCAAAGATCGTGTTCAACCGTCTCAACGGGAAACGTCACAGCGGCTCAGCTGCACAGAAGACCCCGACCCCGGCAGAGGGATTCACACTTTCACACCAGGAGAATGTCAGATTCGTGTACGAAGGTAAGCAGGGTCATTGGATCAATGATTGAATGATTGGATTGAAGATGGCGTCCGCAGTGGGATGTTGGGGGTCCAGATGAAATCTCAAAGACAGTGGAGCTTTGTCTCACTCAGGGTTCAAAGGTCTGAGATTGTAAAGGTGGAAAACAAGATATTCTGCTGGAGTAAAGATTTTTAAGCAACAAGATCTTTGCTGACGGAATTTAAATCCTAACTTGGGTTTTTGCATCTTATTTCTACCAGAACTACAATAATTCCACAGTCAGCAGTGTCTCAAAGGAGTAACTTCTTGTCAGTAAAATGTTACCCYGTCCTGAAGTTTAACCCAGCACTGAAGACCAGCTGCTCTTCACTGTCATCACTCAAAGTGAAAATCTGTCATTTTATTCATCTTTCATGCAGCAAGATGACTGGTTCACTGCTCGCTCAACTTTTACAGGATTGTTTTCTTTCTATAGTTTCATGTATTTTTGCAATCAAACTACTTCTGCTTACAATGAGCTATTTTTACCACTCATATGTCAAAAGTTTTGGCTCAGTCGTGTATGGTGTGTTATATGACATTTAGCATTTTTAAATGTTAAATACACTCACCGGCCACTTTATTAGGTACACCTGTCCAACTGCTCGTTAACACTTAATTTCTAATCAGCCAATCACATGGCGGCAACTC